CATGGGGCACGGCCCCCCTGGTTTTTTAGCAAAGCAACCTTGCCTCAGCTGCTTATCAATAGACTAGGGACACAACCTAGCTGGGGCCACCGTAAGGAGGGTGCGGAACCGGCTGGAGAACCCGAGAGTCGTTATGAATGATTCACAATCCTGCTGGAAGAGCATAACGAGTGGGGTTCCGCAGGGGTCTGTTCTGGGACCAGCTCTGATCAGTATCTTCAGCAACGATTTAGATATCGGCATAGAGAGGACGCTTATTAAGTTTGCCGATGATCCCACGCTGGGAGGGGTTGCGAGGGCTTTGTAGGACAGGTCAGAATTCAGACTGATCTGGACAAACCGGAGAAATGGGCGGAGGGAAACAGGATGAAGTTGAATAAGGACAAATGCAAAGTGCCCCACTTAGGAAGGGACAATCCATGTCACACACACACAGAACGGGAAGCGACGAGTCCGGCAGAAAGGGATCTAGGGGTCAGAGTGGACCGCCAGCGAAATAGGGGTCAACAGGGCGACGTTGTGGCAAAAAAAGCAAACCGTGCTTCCGGGATTATTTGTCACCTGCAAAGTGGGTTGTGCCCACGAAGGCTCGTGACAATATTTATATTTCTGTTAGTCTCTATGGTGCTAGAGGACCATTGGTTTTTATGATTCTGGGCAGCGTGAACAGGCGTGTTGTGAGCAAGACCGGAAAAGTCGTTCTTCCGCTCTGCGCTGGTTAGGCCTCAGCTGGAGTCTTGGGTTCAGTTCTGGGCACCGCTTTCCAGGAAAGATGTGGAGACATCGGAGAGGGTCCAGAGAAGAGCAACAAGAAAGACGCAAGGTCTAGAGAACAGGAGCTAGGAGGGGAGGCTGAAAGAATTGGGCTTGTTTAGTTTAGAAAAGAGAAGACTGAGGGGGGACATGAGAGCCGTTTTCAGGTACCTAAAAGGGTGTGAAGGAGGAGGGAGGAAAATTGTTCTTGGCCTCTGAGGATAGAGCAAGAAGCAATGGGCTTAAACTGCAGCAAGGGAGGGTGAGGTTGGACGTGAGGGGTGACATGCTGGCATAAGTTGCCTGGAGGGAGTGTGATATTGAAGAGCAGGGAGGGAGCATGGGGGGGGGAGGGACTCCAGTGGACCCTTCTGTAACCTGACCCCCCCCCTCTCTCGCCCCGACAGGCTGAGGGGTCCCGGCCCCGTGTGTCTCCCCGTCGGCCCAGGGACAGGGCCGGGCGATGGCTGGGATGGAGCCGGTTCAGGTAGGGGGCTTGAGGAAGGGATGGGGGGGTCCGTATTTCAGTGTGT